GACTCCGGTTTTTCCTCCAGCAGGGGCGACGACGGGGACTCCTTTTTTTCCTCCACCAGGGGCGACGATGATGGGGACTCCGATTTTTCCTCCAGCAGGGGCGACGATGGGGACTCCGATAACTCCTCCAGCAGGGGCGACCATGCATGGGGCTCCGGTACAAGCTGAGGTGAGCACAAGCTACTGGACGCCTCGGGTGGAGAGTGGAAGCTTGCATGGCGAAGACAGCCGGACATGGAATGCTCATGGGGTCAACAGGCCGCCGGCGGTGCCCAAGGCAGCGGACCTCAGCTTTGAGGCGCTTCGTATCAACCGGCCCCCAGCACCACGGCCGTACTGAGGCTCGCTGGAGGAAAAAAGGAGATGGTGTTCTAAACCCTCAACCCTGAACCCCAAACCCTAAACCCTAAACCCTATAAACCCTAAACCCTAAACCTAAACCATGGCAGCCTTTCTTGCTTGTGAGTGAGTGTTGTGCTTTGCATGCATGCAGCTTCCGAGTGAGTGTTGTGCTTTGCATGCATGCAGCTTCCGAGTGAGTGTTGTGCTTTGCATGCATGCAGCTTCCCAGTGAGTGTTGTGCTTTGCAAACATGCAGCTTGATTCTATATATTGCACGAGCAGCCTCAAGGGCTCACGGCTGCATGTCATGCAGGACAGAAGCAAGCCATGCAGGCACATAGCAACATGACAGCTTTAGCTGGGCACACATATAACAGCTCTAGCTGGGCACACATAACAGCTCCAGGTGGGCAGAGCTCAAAGCTCAAGGTGGCCACACATATAACAGGTCTAGCTGTGCACACATGAGACAAGCAGTCTGGACTTGGTAGCTGGGCTTCTGGAAGCTCTCCTCGGCATGGCCGTTGCTTCGTTCGGCGACAACGTGGGTCCCCTGGTGAGGGGTGCTCCTGGCACCGAAGGCGGGCCTCGCTTGGAAGTGCTTTACACATGGGCATGGATCTGTACATATGTACCTCCACATATACACACGTGCTTTTATACTTGTGTCTGGCCAGGAATGCCGGATGTGATGTTCGACCCGGACGAGTGGGCTCGTCTTCGGGAGGCAGGGCAAGCCAGGGCCAGTGACACCTTTCGGAAGCATGTTTCCTGGCCCGGAGGCTTGCTTCTTCGACTACTTCCCGGGCGTGAAGAACTGCTGCGACTGCCTTTTGATCTGGGGCCCCTGGGACAGCTCTCGGGCGAGTCTCAGCTGCATTCACGGCAAACTCCAAAGCCCAAGGCAGCAACCCTAATCCCTGAACCCTTAACCCTGAAACTTCAATCGGCATGCATTTGGTTGCATGAGTGGACATGGTGTGGCTTGCATGTGCCTTGGAAACCTTGCTTGGAGCATGCATGGCAAGCTTGTTTCTTGATCTTGAGCTTGCATGATTTGGCTTGGGTTGCATGGTAGCAACAGCTGACACACTTGCTTTGTGTTGC